AAGCTGAACACTCCAACAATGATAACAGCTTTCCAGTGTAATATAAATAATACAAAATTTTGATAAGGCGTGTTTTGGAGCACAAGGGCTTTATTTTCGACCAAAAAAATGGCGATCGGGTGATGATTTACAGACAAATCTGTGATCACCATTTTTTATATTTACTTGCCCGGTGGCCAGTGGCGACCGTTAATTTTGCTTCATAGTTGGGATACTTGATGCGAATGGTGGTCAGAAGTACGAAAAAAGTTTTTTTTTATGGAAAAGAGTTCGAAAGAGAAAAGTTGGAAGATTCAAGAAATTATAACTGGAGGAGGTTAAGCGAGATCTTAAAGTTATGAAAGCTATAAAATGAAAATTAATGTTCAGAAAGTTTGGAGATGCGTGGTAAGACAGGCCAAAATCCTTCATGGGTTGTAGTAAGTAAGTAGTAATAAGTAAGTGAGTTTGGTAGAAGACTTTCTTTTGCACCATTATTTTGCATACTTGTACATTTAAGTGTGCTAAAATATAATGCTTTAATGCTCTAAGAACAAATATGTACAAAACTACCAGAATATGGTAAATTTATCGTGTGTCTGGCTCTTTGGGAACATCAAAAAAGCTTGGTAATTTTAGTCGAAGCACTTTGTTAATGATTTCAGTAAAATTAATAATAAAATTCATGAATGTTTTTTGATATGTGAAAAAGTTTGGTAAATGTGATAAAGTATTGTAATTTTATTATGACACTTTAGAACATGGCATAAGAACTATCTTTTCAGTTACCTTTGCCTCTAAGTTTTGTATTCTTTACTGAATGTGACGAAATCATAACTATAATTTTTAAAATCAGAATTTCCGATACACCATTACCATATCAACTGAAAAGTCACTAAATGAATGGTTGAAATACCGAATATTTTCAATTTAATCATAGACTTTTTTTTCTTCCAAAAATTTCATTACCAGTAAGTGCGGTAATTTTACCCAATTTTTTTTCTCTGTGTGTAAATTAAAGCTATAATGCAGGCAACAGTGGTCCCTACTAATATGTTAAAAGGGTCATACGTAAAACCGATTAAGGACATAACGGAAATTTTTTTTATAAATGTTATAAAAACGTGCTTAAAAAATAAGGAACTCTTTTTTTGGAACCACAAAGGGAAGATGAATGAATAGAATTTAAGGAACAGCAAATTAATCAAGTAATTTGGATAGTACCGTACATATTTCTAGAATATTCTACATCGTAAAAGAAAATTGTAAGCAGTGGTAATGAATACAAAGAGATGAATCTTATAATGAATCTTAAAATGATATTTTAAGAGATAATATTTTATTTTAAGAGATAATATTTTATTTTAATACATTGAAATGTGTAAAATTCATATCGAAGATTTAAATTTCTAATATTTGTACCAAATGAGTAAACAAAATATAACATTACTGAAATAAATATTCATTTTCAACATTTTTAGTAATTTTACATAGTTATTAGGCATGTAGAAGAAAAACTTTTTACTTTGAAAAACGTTTTGAAATAAATATTTGCTCAGGCAAAGTTGTTTCTATTTTTCGAAAAGTTTGACTCAAAGGAGTCTTCTTCAAACATAAATTTTTCTCTTTTGTGTTTTGTTGTTTTTTCAAAAAAATTATGTTTTGTTGTAAATGGTCTAATACAAAACGCAAATATAAATAAATAAAGTTCTTTTTTCCCTTCAGTTTATTTGTTTTTGTCACAAGTGCGGAAGTGAGATTAATGATTAAGTTTTTAAGTATTTTTTAAAAATTAATTTCGACATATGTAACAATTACTTGCATTGAATATTTTGATGTGACACTTTTTATGAGAATAACTCAAGAAATAGTGAACCAAATTAACTGCAATTTTATATGAAAATTAAATTTCATATAAAATTTAAATTGTTTGCGATGACTTAAATTGTCTGCACTGAAATATTTTAATCGTTTGTATTGAATATTTTGATATGAAAATAAACTGAAAAGTCTATCTTTAGAGTTTTTGGTGTTCATTAAAGTATTATTTTATTCTTTAAGAGAAATTATTCTTTTAAATTTATTTTTGTAATAACACTCTTATCCAAAACTTAACAACGAGCACTTTTTTAAAGATAACTCCAGAAATAGGGAACCTAATCATGTTGAATTTAATATGAAAATTCAATTTCATATAAAATTTCAAGTGTTTGTTCTGGCATGTTCAATTGTTTGAATTGAATATTTGAATATGAAAATAAATTGAAACATTGTTTTAGGAGTTCTTGTGAGCATTAAAATATTATTTCATTCCTTAAAATAATTCATTTTTTAAAAGAATTCTTTAAAATTTATTTATCAATTACTTAGAACTCTCTTGTCCCAGAGATGGAGAAAAAAGCTTTTAAAGTTAACTAAGGAAGAATGAACCATATAAAATGAAATTTTATATAAAAATTCATCAAAATATGACTTAACTATGATAAATGAAAAAAATAATGGCTTGAACTTTTGATCATGAATTAGTGACCATCATAGCAAAGTGAACTAAAAATACTGCAACAAAAATAATATTAAAAATATTTAAATGCTGCAACAGGGAACTTGGGGTGGATTTAATATAGAGGATGCAATCCCCTCTTTCTTTCTAAATGGCAAATTAACGTCTTAAGACGGGCGCGTATAGGTCTGTGCACCCGTTCACTATCCCCCGGAATCAGACCAAAATTCCTCTGATTACATAGTTGTCCACTTCTATGATGTTAAAGGAATGATACCGTATATATGACTTTCTCTTTATGTAAACACGCGAGAATCATTGTGTGTGAATCATCCTTCATCAGTAGAGAATACAAAAGCCCACTCGGCCTACTGTGCCTGTGTTTTAAGTTGATACTGCCTGTACCAGTTCAGAGACTTTCTTATTTGAAAGGAAGAAGCCTTGGATTTTTTGAGGTATATGGGTCAAGTTTTTGAGCTCTATACAATATTGGTCAGAGGCAATCAAGGTTACAAGTTCACTATTATGAATTAAAACACGGGGCCACAACAGATTAAATGGTCGAAGAATACCTTGAAACTGAAAATATTTCAATTTATAACCGGCGTCGAACAGCAGATTTAATTCTTAGTTTTGAACTACCAATGTTCAACTCTATAGCTTTGTAATCTTAAAACTAACCCAGAAGACAAGGAAACTTCCGGATCTAGCATTCAGGCAAACTAACCTTTGTCGAGGATTTTTCACAATTGCGTCACGTGGAAGTAAAAACCACGAAAATCTCCCGCGGTAAAAATGGTCATAGGAGATACCAACTCATGATCTGTCTACCACTATTTAACGCCTGCATTTTGACCTGTGCGAACCTGAAGCAGAATTCATATTGATAATACATCTCTAGGATTTGAATCCAGGTTACCTCATTGGGAAGCGAGCTCTTTATCATCTAAACTACCGTGGTTCAATCAAGAATATTCTGAGCATGGAATGGTCAGCTAGATCTCCGGATTTGAATTTCATAGATAACGTCTATTGCGTTCTTGAGAGAGCATTTTCCGACAGGTAATTTACAATACTAGAATTGTAAATCATGCATACGATAGATACTTTAAATGTTTAAAGTCATTAAACATATTGTTCATGGATAACTATATATTGTTATTGAAAAGAAGCATAAATATTGTGTTAAAGATCTGAGATGAATTTCAAAAAATGAAAAATCAATTCAGGATTTACTTTTATCGTAACAGTTTGTCATCCATTATTATATCTACAAGATTAAACCGCTATATTTTCATTTTGAAAAATATTTCGTATTTGTTTGTAAAATATTTAACAAGAGAAAATTATAAATATATGCGATTCTAGAGTATACCGGTATTATTTAGGGGATTTTATTCGCCAGAAAAATTCGAAATTTTATAAATTTTTAAGAAAATATATTATTTAAAGCAAACTTTGGAAATGATTCGCAACCACTTCTATTAAGAATAAGATAAATATGTGATTGCTTAAAGACTTCAACTTTTCTTTTTATATTAATTTGTTTAAAATTTTCTGCCATGTAAAAATTTAATGTTAGGAAAAATGTAGCAAAATTTATAAGAGTAAAAAAAAATGTATATTCATTCATAAAATGAATTGGAATATCTAACTTTCATAAGACTTGGAAGCAAAAATAAAAATAGACGAAGAGAATTTACTCAGTTGTGTATTTTGTGAAATTTAAATTCGCACGAACTAAACTGAAACTACTCAAAATGTATATAATTATCATATTTCATCCATTGCCTAAAAAGATTAGAATATGTATCTTTTTGCATTGCTGGGAACACCTAGATTTTTCGAAATAGAGAAACTTAGTACTGTTGCAATGCAGGGTGAAAAGTTGAATGAATTGATAACAGCGAAGAGAAGGCAAAGGAAAGCAAGAAAAAATAAAAATAATAAAAAAATTTTGGCAAATCTGTACTGTAATGACATATCTGGTTAAAAAACAACAACATAATTCTGGTTAATTAAACCAAAATACACGGTATTTAAACCATTCATTCAATAATATTTCCGCTCATATGGTAATGGCTTACCTGAAATTCTGGTTTACAAAATTACAATTCTTATAAGCACACTTTTGGTGAAAAATATAGACCAGAAAAGTAAATTTAACCAAATAATTGGCTTTTATGCCATATTTTGAAGTATTATGATAAAATTACCAAATGTTACCACATTAACCAAATTTTAACTCACTTTATAAAAAAATATTTTATTGTTAATTTCACTAAACTTTTGATCAAAGCACGTCGTTAAATATTAACGAACTTTTCATGCTCCCATAGAGCCTGAAAAACGGAAAATTTTACCATAATCTGGTAGTTTTGACTATATTTATTTTCTCGGTGCATGTTATCAATCATTGATCTTTTTTAAAAAAGAGGTGTAACTGTGCACTTTCGAGTAAATTGTATTCAAATCTTATGAAAAGTCTCAACTGGGATCAAATAACTCTTGACACTTCAATCTACAGAATACAATGGAAATTTAATCCTCCAGCTGCACCATGGTGGGGCGGTTGGTGGGAGAGAATTGTGCAAATGGTGAAAAGTTCTGATATCCTTAAAAACAGAGTGAATACATTGTCAATAGTTGTTATGATATTTTAACTGTGAATGACAGAAATTGGTGGTTCCAACGGTCAATGTTGACAATCACATAGTCGCTTTGGTTAATGTTCAAAATGCAAACTAGTTCTAGTTAAGTGCCACTGCCCGGTATACATTTGCCCGCTATACCCTACATCAATGTTTTTTAAGGTTCAGTGCCACTTCCCCCACTATACATTTGCCGGGTATGCCTTAACATCAATGATCTTTTATGGTCAAGTGCCACTGCCCAGTATGCAGTCAACCGTTACTCAGAACACTGATGTTTCAACTAATCTATTTTCAGCAGATGTTAAAACATCGACAGACTCCTGGTGGGGTACTTACCGTAGGAGCTGATAGAGCCATACAGTCCACTATAAGTAGGCTCATAAGTGGACATATGTCTCTCTTTTGAGCTTGGGCTAAAGACCTATTCAACGTGCGCGAGGTGTAACTCTGCACAGGCTTCTCCCGATCACATTTTACACTGTCTTGGTCTGGAAAAGAAAGACCTCTACTCTGGTCCCTTACTTGTATTTGATTTCCTGAAGACTTTCGAGCTCATTGACTTGGTCTAACCAAGAGGAATAAGTCAGCAACAACAACAACATCGAATAAGTATAATAATATCAAGGAATAAATTAATATCAAATCTGATATAGCAGATATTTCGGACATTCACCAAAGCGACTGAGTGATTGTTGACATTCTCCGGCCGACATTCTCTTGATTTCGATCATTCACGGTTCATTGGAAGCAATGGGGTTTTAAAGCGTGAAATGAAAAAAAAAAAAGCTGAGAACTTACGTGTTAGTGTTCCGTAGTGGCGATATTCGGTCAAGACCTTTGTAGGAGTTCATGAGAAACGACACCGTCTTTTCTAAAATAATAAGGAAATTGCTATTTAAGTAAATTTTAATGAAAAATACTTTTTCTTGTAATAGGATTACTAATTTAATCAATAAATAATCCCAAAATATACAAGTCACTTTTAAATTTTTTTTTTTTTTTTTTGCAATATTAGTCATTCATTTGAAATTCATTCCAAGCTAAAATATGAGTATCATATTTTCTGAAAATAAATTAAATATCTTTGGAAAATTAAAATAATAAAATCAGTTTAGTAATTGTTCAGTTTAGGAAATTGGTTTCATATTAAAATATCGGCATCATTTTTTTCTCGGAAAAATTTATGTATGCCCAGAAATATTTATAAAAAATTAAATTTTTTAAATTTTATTTATAACTTTTTAAGTTCAGTGTATACGTTAGTAACCCTTACACAAGAATTGACAACTTATGTGAACATTTTATAGTTTTTTGCATCGCATCATTCATTTTAACTATGTTTTTTATTTAAATATGTAACCAGTCATCATAATTTGCCGAAAACTCCAATATCGATATAATACATAGAAACTTTTAAATTTTTTTTGTCAAAATACATTAAATATACATTACGTGTAGTGTATAAGGAAGACACTTCTCGATTTTTTTATAACATTTGAAATAAAATCAATCATTTAAAATTGGTTTCGCATAAATTTATGAGCAACATACCTGTTTAAAAGAACACCCACATTAAGTATAGAATTATCTATAGAAAATTTCAAAAACAAAATTACCCTTTCTGTCAAAATACACGAAATGTAGACATATTGTGTTAACATGAGGTTGTAAATTTTTCGATTTTTATAGCATTTGAAATAAAGTAATTCATTTAAAATTATCTTACCATGAATATATATATGGGCAACATACTTTTTGAATACACCAATATTAGTCTATAAATATCTATGGAAATGTTTAAAAAATCCCTTTGTCATTAAAACGTGCTAAGTTTCGATCATATTTATCCTTAACGTAAGGCTGACGTTTTTCAATTTTTTTCAAAAATTTTTTTGCACCACGCTATTTATTTCAAACTACTTTAATTTAAATATTGAAATCATATTTTCCAGAAACAATATAAGTTTAACTTGACAATATAGGTTTCCCTCTAATGATATAAGTTTAAACTTGAAAATATAGGTTTCCCTCTAACAATATAGGTTCAAACTTGGTAATATAGGTTTTCTCTCTAACAATATTGGTGTAAGCTTGACAATGTAGGTTTCCCTCTAACAATGTAGGTTTAAACTTGACAATATAGAATCCCGTCTAACAATATAGGTTTAAATTTGACAATGTAGGTTTCCCTCTAACAATACAGGTTTAAACTTGACAATATAGGTTTAAACTTGACAATATAGAATCCCCTCTAACAATATAGGTTTAAACTTGACAATATAGGTTTCCCTCTGATAATATAGGTTTAAACTTGATAGTATATTAGAGGAGCGAATATTTTATAAAACTGAAACGTTTACAACAGATGGGTTACAAAATGTTATGATAGAGATAAAAAAAGGTTTGAATTTTATTCAATTTAGGGTTAGTTATCGGTTATAGAGACTAATAATGGTGACAACTGGGAAAAGTAATCGCCGACTTTTGGTACCCATACAACCGATAAGTACCCATTTTGGAAATTGTAAATTAATATAGCTATTGTGTTAACCTATATATACCTTTATTTAAATTTCCGTACACTTCATTTGTGACAATAAGAGTTGGTGATTCTTTTTTCTCTTCTTCATTGACTTCTCTCTTCTTTCTTCTTTCATCATCATGATCATCGAATGATGGAAAGGAGATGGGAGCATCTTTAAGATCATAAAGCCTAGACTGTCGAAGATCTGAAACTGAACAATGGTAACAGGTATTTTTTGTGTGTCCGAAAGTAACGCGTTCCTTTTAAAAGTTATGTCACGAAGCAACGAGTAAAACTAATGATTTAATTTAAACTTTTCTTGTTTTTATTCAAATTTTTTTAAAATAATGCTTGAATAATTTTTAGTAGGCAAAAAAATGGTTTAACGCATATTATTTTAATGTTTTATGGATGGTGATTTCGGTAGTAGATGGCGCTGCATTTTTTCCTTCGAATAACCTCCGAGTTGATGCATCCGGTCTGTTCTCTCGAAATTCGGCTAGCGAGTATTCACTTTTTGACTGTTGTCGATTTGTTTTTCAATATTTGAGCTAGTAAAATAATTACTCGAAAATGAATAAGCAAATAAGAAATAAAATAAACACGTTTGATTTAAAAAAATTACACAAGCTCTTCAAGGCAAGCTATGATGCAACTAGCCAGATCGTGTGATCTCACTCTACGCTGTATGACTATTCATTATTTTACTTAGAAAGTCTGAATTCATGATTGGTTGTTGTTGTTGTTGACGTATGCCTGTTAAAGGAGAGGGGTGTGATTGTTCTTGTTTTCAAGTGGCGCCATCTATGGCCAAAGATTCGACTTCTGCCACACCCATACGTCACACCCGCTTATAGAGCGGACTCATTCATTCATTCACAGATCGTAATTTTGAACGAAATCATAAAATGATCAATCTCCAATTCCCCCCAGAGGTATTGATTTGTTATAGGAACATGGAGGACTTTGCGACTTAACATATTTAACGTGCATCAGTCACCATTTTACTTCACGGGAGTCTTCAGTCGGCGGGGTTCGAACCCACGAACTCTCGGACATTGGCCCAGCTCCCTACCGACCAGGTTATCCCGGCCCTCATGTATTGGTAGTGGAAAACGATGAATTTTTACAAAGTGTTCGAATCTTTTAAACTAATTGTTTAATTTTTTTGGACAAAAAACAAAAGCGAAATATACCCTTTAATAAGATTCCAAATTAAACAACAGATGAATTTTATTTTGTAATAAAATTTAAACTACGCTAGACAAAAATCATTAATAAGCTTTACTGTAGTACATATTAAAGATGATATAAAGTATACGAGAAGAAAATATTAAAGATTATATAAGAGTATATGTGTGGAAGAGATTTGAATGCATAATGTAATTTTAGCCATGAAATGAAAACTTACAGATATTTGTGGCACTGCGGGTTAGTTCAATTTCTTCTTCATCTGATTTTGTCTGCTTTGCCTTTTGCATCTGATAATCATTTACACGATTCATTAAATCAACGCTAGTCCTGAAATCTTCCTGAAATATTTAGAGTATTAGCATCATCAAACCATATGAATTGGTATTCAACTGATTTACTAATATTTGCTCTTTTTAAATTTATAAATTGAAGGATTTATTAATGCATTTATGTATTTTATTTTTGATATTTTTCACATTAAACTTTTTTTTTCTTATATTAAACTTTCAAACGTTTTGAAAAGGCATGGTTTGTTAAACAGCAATTTAAAAATTGATAAAAGTTTTACTTTTAGTTCGTTCATTTTGATTTGGTAAAAAATTAATGAATTTGTGTTAATTATTAGATAATTTTTGTTAGCAATTTAAATAAAAAGTTAGAAACCAAAAATACGGAAAACGATATTCTAAATATGTGTATATTAGCACTTCATCAGTGGACACACTGTCTGCTGACAAACTGGAACCTTTATGTTGTCAGTGGTTAAACCAAAAACTGACTGTGCCCCTACTGTTAAAAGCGATTAACAAGATCATTTATTTTTCTGGAATTTGAAAACGATTATAAATTACAAAACGATATGTGATCTAGTTGCGTCTTCGTTATTGTTGCATTTTTTAAGTGATCTAGTTACGCCACCGATGTTTTTCAGTTGTGATTTGTTCTTAAATCTGATTTTTTGTTGTTGTTGGTAGAACTGTTATGTTTAAGATTATTAAAAAGTTGCTAAGTTTTTAACCTTAGTATTGGTAGTTCTTTCAAACAGAGTTGTGTTTTAATTATGTTCTAGGTTGTGCTTTAATATTTCAGTTGTGTTTTTAATCAATTCTAGTTCGTGTTTTAACACCTACTACTGACTACAGAAAGGCTCCATGTTAGCAGACAGTGTGTCCCCTAATGAAGTGCTGTTTTTGCTAACCGATTAAAATATGTTTATAATGTGTTTAAAATTTAGTTTTGCTTATTTTTGATTTCTGACTTTTTATTTAAACTGTTTACATGAAACAAATTCGGCTTTAGTTGCTTTTAGCGCTTTTCTTTCTTGATTTATTATTTTAAAGTTTTATCCAAAAAATTTTATCTTAAAATTTGTTTAAATTAATTTCATACTTTGATTGGATAATTCTTGCTAGTTATGAAGTTCCCAACCCTATATACAAAAAATCTAAGAGTGTACAAATTCATCTACACAATTTTGAGCGAAATCTCAGAATTTAAAAAAATCGGTTGAATAGCTCTTGAAAAATGGAATTTTAAAAAAAATAGAATTGAAATTAACAGTAAGAAGCCCAAACTTTTAGATGCTCTTCTACCTTAACTATTTGGTCCATATTTCTTAGATTACATGTACCTTCCCCCCTGAAGGTTAGAAATCTGAATCTGTCGAGAAAAAGTCATGTTTATTCAGAGAAAGTACGTTTTTGTGCCTGATTTCGTAAATTAAAATATATTGTGCTCTATTTAATTAGCATATTTAAGGTCAGCATATTTAAGTCATATCATTAAAACAGCCGACTCAATTTTGAGTTTACGACTACTAACGTTCAACTCCGTAGCCTTGCAATTTTGAACCCAATCCAAAAGACAGGAGAACTCCTGGATCAGTACCCCAAGAGGTATGATTTGTTGTAGGAACATGGAGGACTTTGTGACTAAACAGATTTAACTTGCACCTGTCACCATTTACTGCACGGGGTCTTAGGCCGGCGGGGATCGAACCCACGACCTCTTGGACATTGGCCCAGCGCCCTACCAACCAGGCTATCCCGGCCCTTGAATTCCAGTTTGTGAAATTTCAAACATTAGATCAAAAGTTATGCAGGATAATTCAATTTTTTGAAGCTTCGTATATGCACTTGCTTAATATAAGCCAAAGCTAAGTTTAAAATATGCTTAGCTAATTGTAGTAATAGCTTTAATGGGAACATTTTTAATGAGTATTAAGGATTTATGAGTTGGAAGATTACGAGCAAGAAATAAAGCCAGGTATATTTCTCCTATCCGACGTTGGTAGGTGTAAAGTGGGAGTCAAGCTGTACCGGTAGAGTTTTTTTTCCAGAGATTCAGGGGAAGAAGGCAATAAACACGAGAATCCTCACCAAAAGTAATGCGCTTATTTTTCGTGAGTTTTAACTTTTCCAACCTATGAAAAAGTGAACTCTTTCACTATATTTAACCCGCCAGGCACCAACTCGTGTTGATTGAATAATATATTCTTATTGTCAACGTATAAATTTTAATACCCGAATTCAGTAAAATGCCTCTAAAATTCTTTTTTTTTATTTGCAATCAGCTCTCAAAATCTATAATTAAAAATTAATGGTAAGAATTTCAAGTTCTTACATTTTGAATATGAGACCAGCTTCCGATGTATTTTTCATCCAATAAGTTGCTTGCAAAATCTTGAATTACCTAAAATACATGCGAATATTCAACAAAATTTTTTTTTCTTCTGAAAAAGATCTATTTATTCAATTTTCGAAACAAAAACTTAGCGTGCGATCTTAGACTAAGTTCGGGTAGTGTGTTGTGGCTTGTGTGTTTTCAGTTTTTTTACAAGTAGAGTAAATTAAACAAGAAATTCGAGCTCACATATTTGTTTACAGCGCCTTCGCCATTTGGAACTTTATTCAAATACAAATGTTTTTTAATATGGATAGAAAATTTTTTCGTCAATTTGAACGACTTAATTTAAACGCTTCAAAATTAAAACCGAATTTGTGTAAAATCGATTAAATAGTTCCCGATAAAAAAAGCTTTAAGAACGTAACTTTTTCTAGTCTTTAATTCTCAGAAACTATTCAGCTGATTGCTCTCAAATTTTTTATATTAGCTTCTAAAATGACGCAGTTTTAGCACTGGAGTATGGTTCCAGAGATATATAAGATTAAGGGGATCATATTTTAGAGACTCTTTCTATTTTGAGGGTCTTGAAACCGTATTTGTCGAGAAAAACATTGTCTGATTTATTAACTTTAAGCTATGACCAACACTAATTAAATGACAGATTGATACGCAGTAATTCGTTGATTCAACAGTTGTTTGAGGGTATTCGTTCTTTTTCCTTCCTCAGACAGTAAATGTTCTCAAAAAATCAGTCACCTTCCCTCACATAAATTCGAAATGAAATTTTTAACAAATAATAATAAAAATAACAAAAAGGAAAAAATTGTGATCGCTTTATTACGATCCCTGGTTACCCATTGGTCAGATACTTTTTTTCTGGATTGACTCCAATACACGCCACAATATTTGAAATCACGTTGCAAAAACTGTCTCTATTGATGCTTGTCTTCTTATCGTCGGATTGGTTTTCAAATCCTGCCTATATACGTGTTTCAAGACGTCACAATATACTTTTCCGTCTTCAGTATTCATATTTACATTAAAATCCTCGTCAAGACAGTAATTATAAGTTAATAATGAAAAGAATATAAAAATACTTTAAATGATTATTATGTAAATACATTAAAGATACCTGCTGGGGAAAGTAAAAAGAAAAAACTTGTCTGGAAAAAAAAATCAACTAAAGAAGTTCCAAAATTATCGTCTGCTTTTTTTTTTATTTGATCGTGTTGTGCTGCTTTTTTATTATTACTTATGTTAGCCTGATTTTTTGACGCTTACAACTATTAAAATCACCGTCAAGACAGTAATTATTAGTTAATAATAAAAATATAAAAAGGAAAAAAAAATTCTAAAAAAAATGATCAAACAGCAGCAGCTGCCACAGCAACGAATGCAATGACGACGCATGCGCACTGTTTACTATTACTTTTGAACACAGTTGAAAAGTGTGACGACGTCCAAATAAGGTGTGCACGCCATCAAACCCAAAACAACACCCATTTTGCCAATGGAGGATGATAAACAAAAAAAAAAGTCACAGTAGAAGGAAAAGGTATGAAAACATAGCTTAAAATCAGAAGAATCGAATAAGTTTAAACTCATTACCTCAAAAGTCGGTTTAATTAACGTAACTTAAGTAAATCTGCATTAGTAAAATATATATTATTAATATATGCATTCTTGCAAGTACAAATCTGAGCAGTGGCGTTCGTAAATTTAGCCTCGAATAGTTACCGATATAGAAATCCAAGCAAAATGTTAAAAGATGTGCAAAACTTGCGATGTCCATGCACAGAAATCACTCTTGCACATGTTGAAGAAATAAGTGGACGTTTACTCACCATCAAGCCCTGGAGATCTTCCAACGTCAAATCATTTGGCTTGTTCCAAGTCATGTTAATCATCTTATCAATAATCGTAATTAAATTTTTTAGTTCTTCACCATTCTTTTTCTCACTCAGAACATCTTCACTTCCTAAATATACACATTTTTTTAACAGGATTAAGCGATAATATGGACAATTTTGAATATTATAATATGAATTTAAAAGAAATTAATCTCTTTTTATATTGGGAGCAGTACAGCTTAAATATCACTAAATTTTTTCCCTAATCACTAAATTATTAAAAAGTAGAATAAGTGAAAATATGAAAATTAAGTGTCTTAATATCTCTTTATACTTAACCAATCCAATTTTTTATTCAAAATCATTTTGAATATTGGTGAAAATTAAGTTCTCCAGTTAAGTTTGTCTTCTAAAAGTAGCGAAGTAGTGATTACATTTTGAAAGTAGTTTGTAGTCGTTTCATTTAACAACACATTTACATTTAAAAAGATTACATTTAAAAAAATGTAGTTGTGGTTGTAGTTAACTACAAAAAAAATGTAGTTTTTCCGGCACTGACCTGGGGGATCTTCTTCGACCTCCGATAAAGCTTTCAGGTGATCTAAAGCGTTGAGTAGAGCTTCTGTACTCTCGACCTCCATGTTGTCCTGAAACACATTTTAAAAGAAGCAAGCTTTTATTTTCACAATTTTTAAAACGTTTGTCAAAAATGAATTCACTGCAAGAGTCTCTTAAGGTTATTTAGACGTGCAATGTTCTCAAATTTTGACCAGTTATAAGACAATTTTAATGGCGTTGAGCAGCCGATCTATTTTTTGTTTACGAATGCGTAGTCCTGTAATTTTGAACTCAGTCCAATTGATAATACAAGTCTACGAATGTGTGGGTTTTCGTGATCTTCTTCTTCTTCTTGAAGTGCAGGTATCCAATTGAAAATGGCTAAGGAATTTCATTGTCATAAAAATCTTTGCCATAATTATCGAATCGTTCTAACTTACTCTTTCATAACGACTCTTCTCTGTGAGCAAATGCATTATGGAGAAAATTAACCCAAAGCAAGCTGTTGAAATCATAACAATATATAGAAGAGTTACTTTCTTTTGAAAACATTTGTGGAGTAAAAATATGTGACATAAATACACGAAGAAGGAAGTAAAGAAGAATGTCGCCAACGCTTCGCCTATAACATTTTATCCCTAAAATTCAGTTATGTATTATAATGAATTATTCTATCGAATCATTAGTTAAGTTGTGTTTTTATTCGTTTATATTCACTTGCAGGATAGATTTAAATAAATAATAATAAATTAGGATTTTAGATTGAATAAAATTATTTAATCGGGATTAATATGATGTTTTAAGGAAAAGAAGAACATTCTAAAAGTTTATTCATATAATAAATAAAACAATTGTAAATCCAAAAAGTTACAAATTAGTTTACTTATGAAATGAATAGGACCCTCCATTAACAAATTTTTCTGTGCCACCAAATGCTGTAGAATAAATCACCATATTATAAAATTTTTGGCTTTAAAATGCCAACATCGAATTGTTCCATTGAAATAACAAATAGAAACAGAGGTTGAAAATACTATCTCTTGATTCGCACAACAGTCACGTGGTTTCAGTATGAGGACAAAAATTATCCTCATGTGTGTGCACTCTATTACATTTAAAATCTATGTGGGCAATCAAGGGAAATATTCACTAAAATATTTCAAATATCATGCATAATTTAAAAAAATATATAATTTTCAGTGTGCGCATTAGAAGTCTACATAAAATTTAAATTTTTTTATTTAAAATCTACTTTTTACAATTTTTACTACCTTCAAATTTCGGAACAAAAATAATCCTGCTCCGTTTTAATGCGTTATTGTGTTAATGAAATATATGTTAAGAGCACACAAAAGGAAACAGTGAGTACCAGTGCTCCATAAGTTTTTAGTTTACGTTTTAAATATTTTTTGTATCTTCTAATTAACAAAAGTATAAGTTAAATAAATTTTTAGACGACTAAAAAAGAAACATAGTATTTTATGGTTTAAAAAAATGAAAAGTTGTGATAGACAAATAGGTTATGATCACTGGTAACCGTTTTGTGAAATGCTTTTTCATTCTGGATTGTCTCCGTTAAACGCCACAACATTTCAAATCATGGGTTGCAAAAACTGTCTCCATTTGATGTTGGTCGTCGGATTGGTTTTCATATCCTGCCTATGTACGTGTTTCAAGACGTCACAAAATACTTTCCCTTCTGGAGCTTTCATATTTATACTGAAATCACCGTCAAGCCAGTAATTATAAGTTAATAATAAAAAGAATATAAAAATACTTTAAATTATTCTTATGTAAATACATTAAAAATACCTGCTTGTGAAAATAAAAGAAAAACTGCAGCGGTAACCAGAGCAACACATGCAATGTCTACTGGAATGCTGATTATTCATTCATGATAAGTATTAATGTGAAAAAATAACAAAATTGTTTGCAATCAAGCTCCCTTATTAAATATAGCTAGTTTCAAAGAAATGAAAAAAAATCTAAAATACAGATATTAAAATGTTATGCAAGGAGAAATCAGGTGATAGATTAAAATCATACCATAATATCTAAAATTTTTTCGAGGTTCGTTTCACAGTGCAGAGGATGGAGTTCAACATCACAGGCTGTAAAAAATGCAAGATATAATTCACTAATGATGGTGTAAAAATTAAAGACGAGTTCAGATTCACTTTTAGAAAACACGAAATCAACGATAATTTCTAGAAGAGCGTTGAAACCAACCTATATCTTTTAGCCCGAGCTCACTTGCGTGGCCGAGATTAAAAAAGGTGCCTTATAATTACTGTCCTTAACATCTGTTTTTAGAATCCTTTTGAAAAATGAAGTCGAACAAGCATGCGGATTTGGGATGGCAAATTAAAATTAATGAACAAAATCAAAAATAAGAAATGGTATCGAAATTCAAGGAATATCATACCGTTTTATATAACTTAAGTAAATCTGCATTANTATAGATATATATATATATATATATATAAATACATATATATATATATATATATATATATATATATATATATCGATAGATAGATAGATATAAGCATGAAAAGAGAGGTAGAAAGACTTACTTGCATTCGGATCTTCATTCCCAAAAATCGAGCATGAAAGAAAATAAAGAATGATCAGACTATTTATATGAATTAGAACCATATACAGGATGTTCCGTAAACACTGCCACAAAGATGTATTTCTAATAATATTGATTCATACCGTGTCATAAGTGAAGTCGAAATACTTACATATTAAGGGCCTTACAAAATAATAAGAAAGTGAAGAAAACAAAATCTATAAGAAATCTTCCAGAATCGTTATTGAGGAAAACGAGATTATAATTGAGAGAAAAAATACTATGATTTTCAAATGAAGCTTGAATTCCAGTCTTTCTCTTTATTTTCTTCAGCAATCAAATAAGTTTCTATGTTTTTAAACTCTCTTTACTCGTTAATAATTTGACAGGTTTGGAGGATGTATTTTTTCTTCGCTTAAATATTAATTTGTGTCATGCATTGCATATATTTTTGTTACTTAATTTTTGATAATGATTCTAAAAAGATATATTGAGACAGGTGATTACAGACTGCAGAACATACTGAATTTGCGTTTGTTTCTAAATTGTGAAATACTATTATAAAAAAGAAGCATGTCTAATTCAGTATTTTAAGAAATTAACACATTAGGAAATAATGATATGTTCTAGCAGTTCTAGATATGAACGTGTAAATTGTAGATTTTAATTTTATTTTCTGAAAACCTTAAACCAGGATAATTTTGCCATTATGCCACCTATTTAAAATGTGATGAATTTTTACAAGAGATAATTATTCATCGCTCTGATTAGTTTTAAATCAAATAATGATGATAACAATTGTCTCTTAGCCAAAGAATATATTGTTTTTTCCTTCATACACAGGGACCACACCAAATCTTGGAGGACTGGTTTACATTATGTCCACGGAAGTTAGCCTTCTTCCCCTATTAATATTCTTTGTCTTTACTACAACTAAATGGCTCAGATAATTGTTACAATAACGGTAACTACAATGGGTAATTTTGTTATATCGTTCCTGTAAACAGTAGATAAGTCACCTACAAGAACTTTTTAGACTGCTGAGCTACGCATTTATCAGGTAAGGAATTACCTGCCTCCTAATAACAAGTTTAATAAAGGAAGCAACTTTCGCCCTAATTGTTTGATTTTAGAGTGCTAAGATAGTAACATTTACATTTATACATTACATTTATAATATTACATTACATTTTTAATTACATCATAACATTACATTAACATTTTAGAGTGCTAAGATAAATTGTTGTTCATAAACAGGTAATGAGTTACTTGCCTTCGAATAATAAGCTCAATAAAGGAAACAATTTTCGCCTCAATTGTTTGTTACAGAAACTTACTAGAGTGCTGGAATAAGTTGTCACTCATTAGCAGGTAATGAGTTATTTGCCTCCTAATAATAAGCAAAAAAAGGAAGCAATTTTCTCCTGAATTATTTGGTTACTGTACTTTTAAAAAGGGCCAGGAGTAGTGATTCCTGATTACAGTAATAATAAGAATAACAGAGCCATTTTTCTCCTAACAACAAGCCAAAATTTGGAAACAATTTTCTCCAGTTTGGTTGGGTGAACTCTTAAGGAAAGGTTGTACTTGATTAAAGTTCATTTTATTAAGAAAAAAAAGTCAATGTTAGAGTACCGTGACCCCCTAAAAAGTATTCGGTGTCGTTGTCATCCAAAGCTCTCATCCAGATGGTCAGTTCGTCATACTCTCCGTATGCATAGTCCATCGATTCTCCCTCACTCGATTTGAGGCAACCGACAGTGAAGTCCATGGACCCCTCTCTGTCGATCGCCGGACTCACTTCTTCGGAATAAATCACGTGACCGACAGGCTCACCATTGACGAACATCTACAGAATAAAAAAAGGTTAACCAATCATATATTATATACAAGAAGTTGCTAACATAAACTGTTATTGGCAAAAATATTCCGGGATAAATGAATTATTGTTTATACCTTTCTTACTCAGGACATAGTTATGAATAAGGGTTAGAAAATTTACCGATATTTTCCCTAAATTCCGATTAATATGATCTTCCAGAACCATTTTTCAATCCATATTGAACAGACAGATTTATCCTATGTGTGATATATCCTGACCTATCTAATCCATTGGTGTTAAATCTAGACGACCCAATCTTCATCCCTCAATGCATATTTTCTTTGTTAAGCTATTTTTAGGTTCTTCTGGGTTCAACTAAATCTTAATTTTTTGAAACTGGTAATTACTTTGCCGAGCTCTGAAATTTGAATCTACGTAAGAAATTTCTATGTCAAGTTAAACCATTCTTTTTTTAAATGGAACTAAACTGCATTAATATGTAAAAACACAAAATTCTCACGGTGATAATGAAAGTTTTTTTTTCTTTCAGAGAAAAAATGATAAACATGATCTCTCTGCAAACAGGACCATAAATCAAATGCTTTGAAACCATGTGTTGACTCAAATGGTAGTGAAGGAATCCCACTTCTTATTTCAGTGAACAAATTCTCCTCATGTTAGAAATCATCTTTTACAATAAACATACATAAACAAACTTCTCTATCATTAAGAATAAAAATTCTTATGGAAATTCATTGACTATTCCATAAATGCTGACATTATTTGCTTTTCCTTTTATTTTTTTGAATGCATTAGTTGTCATATCACGTGATAAATTTCTTCACTACTGTGCGGCTTGCAGAACTCCTCTAAACATCAGTCTCGCGTCGTGGCAGCTGCCATGGTTACGAGGAAAAGTTAGAGTAAAGTAAGAGTACTTATAGCATAAGGGTGTGGGGTGAATAGTCTTGTCTTGATCTTAGCATATGTCAGCGTGAATAAACCAATCGATACCTTCATACCTCCATTGCACACCCATTAGAAATGTGCTCTCGCTTGTTACCACAGCAACAGACAGCCCCAAACTTTTAGTCTGGAGGAGTTCTCCTCAAAGTCGCACAATACAATTTGTGTCAATAAAACAGATCAAGTCGCAGCAAAATGCACATCCAGAAAATATAATGTTATTTCATGACACTGAAATATTGTTTGTAAAATAAGCTTATTATAAAATTTGAAATGGTTGCTAAAATAAGAAAATTTAACTTCGATCCACTCTCTAATGATATATACAGTATATTGTCCTGCACTAGATTGGCAATGAATGTGTTAAGATTATACAATAATATTTCTTTTTTTTGGTTTCATATAGGCCTTGGTTCATACTGCATAAATGTTTTCGAAGAACTAGCAAAAGCCATAACAATTTACGGTACATATCGGTTAAAGAAAGACCGCAAAGCCAAGTTCTTGGGAATAACACAAGACTCTAGATTACTCTGAATACCAATTATTGATAATACACATAAGGGAATTAAATACAATATGGAGATCATCAATGATAACAATTCATATCAAGTACAAATATATCGCGATTATCATTGATGGATATATAATTATCGAATATGATAACATCGCGTACATTATCTATTATTTATTAAAAGGATAATATCTCAAATATTATACTGAACAACAATCATTGAATACGATATTATAGCGAGTGTTGGCAAATTTTATTTGAGTAATGAAAATACCGCTCTATGCAAAAATAATACAAATTGGTTAAATTAGAAAAGTATTAGGATAGTATCGATATTTTTGAAAATACATAACGATATTTTATGCACTTATCGATTACATGGATCAATGTTCGTGATGTTGCCAAGACACGATCTTTTCAGCAGATAAATGCCCAATTTACAAATAAAGAATGAATGTCATTTGTACCTCGAGTCCGGAATCGTATGCCCAACGCATTCCAATTTCATTCCAACTGTTGTTTTTCACAGGTCCCGGTATAGTAAGGTTCCAGAGTTCCTCTCCCGTAGAAACCAGCAGATTCAAGAATATTCCTCGAAAGTAGAGTCCTACTCCAGGGTAACCACCATCACCAGCTCCTGTATAAATGTGTGAATCCCATTTTATATTTCTTAAAAACTGTTTTTATTCAAAATATGTGTTTCCTCAATTCCTACTGTTAGTTCACGCTCTTCCTATATCTTATTCAAATTTTCTATCGTTAATAAAACACTTTTTATTAATACACTCAACTTCAAATACATTTTTTTAAATTAGTAGTGGATGATACTTGATGTTAATGCAGTTTTCTTCAAATATTAATTAATTAATTAATTTTAGTGACAGAGTCTTGCACTGTCACCCAGGCTGGAGNGCAAATCTTTAAAATATAATTGCGCTTAATTAAACAAATTGTCAGAATTTTTATTGACAACTGAAAAAACGGTATGGAGTCTTCTATAAATATGATAAATAAGGCTTTTCATTTCTAACCAATGATGTTTTAGAATACAATTGTAAAGGGATACTAATTTTATTTTTACTGTTCTAGTTAATTTTTATTAAATCTTTACAATTAGTTCGCACTCTCCTTATGTCTTGTCCAAATTTTCAATCTTTATTAAAATACTTTTTATTCATCCACTCAAGTTCAAATAGATTTTTTTCAAACTTGTAGTGGATGACACTTGATACAGTTAATACAGGTTTTTTCAAATATTAACTCAGTCATTAAATAGAGATGAGCGAAAAACGAAATGGAATTAGCGTTAGTCATTGTTTTAAATTTTACTCTAAGCGATTCAGTTTTTTACATATTTTAAAAATAACATCAGTGATGATTTCTAATTTATAGCTCTATTTGAACAAAAAAAAAGTTTATTGCGCACATTTAAATTTTTAATAATTTTATAGTCGCTTTGTTGACCTAAGTAGAAACTGACTTACATTTCTTGAATTACATTTTCCTGAAACGTAACTTTAAGTTAAAATAATAGTTACGTATAAGCCCCTCAAGAGCAGAGTTTAATCAACACAATTGAAAAAGATTTGCATTCTATGAGGCACAACTAGATCAGTTGATCTTCAATTAATCAAATGTTTACTTCTTAAGGTTGCTATATGCGTTCCCGTTCAATTTGTGAATGTGCCGTTGACTGATATCTATTAGAACATTTTTATATCGTAAAATTAACGACGAGTTGATAGAACTTTTAAATTTGCAAATTCTAGTATTCTGTGCCACTTACGTGTACAGGTTTCCGGATTGCTAATATGGAACAAAACTGTTGTTGTTGTTCATTTACATCGCACTTGAGCTGCACAATGGGCTATTGGCAACTGTCTGGGAAACATCCCTGAGGATGATCCGAAGACATGCCATCACAATTTTGATCCTCTGCAGAGGGGAAGGCACCCCCGCTTCGGTAGCCCGACGGCCTGCACGCGAAGTCGAGCACTTTACGGTAGAACAGTTTAACGGGGACCCATGCCACACACCCTCGGTCCCTACGCAGACTGATCCAAGTAGTCACCCACCCGCACACTGACCGTAGCCAGTGATGCTTGACTTCGGTGATCTACTGGGAGCCGTGTCTTAACGATCAGTCCACCGCGGGACGGAGCAAGACTGAATGGAGAAAGAAAATACCACTGAATTCGCTAATTCTCCCGGAATTAGATTTGACTCTTACGTTTGGCGTTATTGTCAATAAGCACTGTGCTATTGTCAATAATGATCCTTAAAAATTGCATCCTTACAAATTAATTAAAATTACCGAAACGTCAGAAAAACAATCGATATTTAGGTGATTCTTTTCGTAAAGTTTCCGGATATTTACACCGTTAAGGGAACGTCGTTGCCACTGTCACCTTTTGGTAACCGTAACGGATTTTTCTATTTTCTTTGAAAAATCTTGAAATTTGTCACGAAAAGAACTGTTAAGAAAGATAATTACCGGATGAATAAATGAATCTTCTTTTACTGTCCTGGCGAAAGAAAGTGATTTTTGTCCAGATGCTGATGGAAATACCTTCACCGCACTCTATTGGGTTCCAAAAGCACTTCTTGTCTTTTTCGTTCTTCTCGACGATCTCCATTTCAAGGCAGAGGGTGTCGTTCTTCTCTTTATTCGAATCAAGATTGACAGCCCATCCGAAGCCCAGGGGACCGTTCGTGAGCGCGACGTCATCAGAGGTAGTGCTGTTCCTCACCATGTTCGGATAGTAGTAATCACTCGTCTCATTGTAGTATGGACCTGCCATGTAATCAATCTTTTTAGAGATAATATTAGAAAAATAATTCTTAAGGTGAACAATTATAAAGTAATTGAAAAGTTAACACCGTTTTATTCTATTGTTGTATCACTAAAACGTTTTATATCATACAATGAGTCGGCAGCAACAGTACAGTGTACAAAACAAAAAACGGGCCACCCTAAATAACTCTTGATCTAATAATCTGATCTTAACGCTCTAGGACTCAATCTTAAAAGTACCTCAAATATGCTAGTTAATTAGTGCTGGCGATATTTTAAGCTACGAAGTCAGACACAAAAGCTTGTTTTCTTTGAATAAATGTACCTTTTTTTCAACAGATTCATATTTCTGACACACAAAACATAATAATTAAAAAGTTTTAATTTGTAAAGGTATATATTTTTTTATATAATTTAAAAAAATGCAAATTTCAGTGGCAGTATCGTTTCAGTATCGTTTGCTACTAGACATTAATAGAAGAAAGCAAATATCTAAATGATTGAATTCGTGAAAAAAAATTCAAATATTTATGAGCGACGTATCAAACTGGCATGAAATTTTCTATAGTTTAGAAATCTGTATATATGTTACGGTGAAACACCGAAACCTGGAGAATGTCGACATTCACCGGTTAATGTCAACATTCACGTAGTCGCTTGGTGTATGTCCGAAATATTTGCTAAATACCCTTATTTCTGACTTTCACCGGTGAATGTCACCAATCATATAGTCGCTAAGGTGAATGTCTGAAATATTTATTACATTCGATTTGATATGAATTTATTCGTGGATATAATTACATTTATTCGATATTTTAATACTTACTGACGATAGATCAGAAGAAACATCAGTGTTTGGAGTATCGGGCCATACATTTACATTTGCCCGGTATACTGATGTTCTTTTAAGGTTAAGTGCCACTTTCCGGTATACATTTGCCCGGTATACCCTACACTGATGCTTTTTTAAGGTCAAGTGCCATTGCCCGGCTTATATTTGCCCGATACTCAAAACACTGATGTTTCTTCTACTCTATCGTCAGTAAGTATTAAAATATAGAATAAATATAAATATATCAAATAAATATAATAATATTAACGAATAAATTAATACTAGGAGGCTCCGCCCCCTTCTCGCTAACGCTCGCCAACCCCCGAGAATCGCTACGCAATCCTATGTGGTTCACACCGTGAACCATGGCTCGCTGCGCTCGCTCGCCAATGAACACAATGTTCTAGCACAAAGACATAGTATATTATCATCAAAGACGTAGTATTTTATCATCAAAGACATAGTATTGTACTTATGTAGAAGAATTCTATCAATGTTCTTATTGGCTTTTAA